AACAACAACATGTTGAATATCTAAATTTCTGTCCACTGGGGTATCATTCTTTGCAATCTTTCAGAAACTTCTAAGAATGGAGTGTCATGGTCATCCACTTTCAGCTCAGGAAAGCATGCTTTGCAGATTTATCATTAGACCAGATCCATGCTATTTCTGTTCTTTATAGGAAATTCCCATCAAACCAAAGTTTTAAGTTGAGGTAGAGACAGAACTATCCGTAAGTAGAGTTCATTTGTGTCTTTCAGAACAATAATCCTGGCCCAATATATCCCATTTCCATTTTATAAAAAAGTGCTCATGTACATAACAATTTTACGTTTCCATGTTTCGAATGACATCAAGGTTATGATGAGCCACTGGGGTCTTAAAACCTCAGTGTCTCACAGCAAAACATTTAGTCTTTCTCAAGAATGCAACAGCTGCCTTTCAAACAGAGAATAATTGTCAGCAGAATAGGCCTCATTCCAAACCCTAGTAGTCAAAAGACTTATGGGAGTTTGCCAGAGGCTCCAAAAATATCACATCTGTCACAGATTTTTCTGATTCTATTGGGTCCAAAGCATCTAAAAGCTCTGTAACAGCTTGCACACAGGCTAGACTTCTTATAGAGTCTTACTTAGCTCTGAGCTAAATGTAAGTCTTTTATCCTTATAAGTTACTCAATAAATGGGTCAAAAGAGCACAGCAAAATATGATATTCATTGGCTTCAAAACACAAAGAGCCCCACCAAGTGCTGCGTTTTATTCTTGGGTGGTGGATGATACAAGAAATGATTTGTCTCTCACTTAGTGACATAATATTGATAAACATAGGACCAGTGGGCACAAGAAACCTCATCGATTTGGCAGACATCTGAATTTAGCAAGATTGATCTTCTGTCATGTGACATGTATACCTTATCAAGATATGTGGGTGTTTGCTACATGCTGTTCTCTGGAGTCTATTAATATAATACTCTCAATAAAACAGAGCAGGATAGTGGTTTGTAGGTTATGAGAGTAATCATGATCCCTCCAGACTAAAATTACAAAGACCAAGAGAGCTGACATAATTCTAGATCAATATCGTAAAGATCCACTGATTTACCTACTAAGTAGATCCAGGTTGCTTTTGATTTTACTTTCTGTTGCGAGAGAAATTATACTTCCATGTGCTAGGGACTATGTTCAGTCTTTCTAGTAAAGGTATTACTTTCAGATCCATAGATGTGACTAGCACAACAAATTGATTAAATGTATGTTAACATGGTCTCTTCCTTCATGATCTAAGTGCCTTTTGCTAAATTTATATACATACACTCATGATTAATTATGACTTCTTCAATCTCTAAACTTACAGGAATGGTATATGTATGTATATGTGTGTGTATATATATATGATTAATTATAGGTATGGCATATATGTGATTAATTATATATACATATTAATAGTATATGTATGATTCCTTCAAT